AATGGAATCCCAAAATCTCTGTAGATGTTCACTGAAATGAAAAATAAACAACCTAAATTAAAAAAAAAAATTTGCCTGTACCATTTATCTGGACCCTGCTACTTCTAGGGATACTGAAGGCACTGTCTTCGCCTTCATTCTCCCAAAGCACACTCAAATTAATTTTATTACTATCCATACTTACTCCTTGCCATGAGTCCAAATTGACTTATCGCTGACCCTCCAGTATAGTTACAAGATCATTTATTTTCTCAAGCATTATAAAAAAAAAGAGGAAGACCTTTGATGAGATTAAATGATACAGTCGGTGCAACAGGAATTGGTACTTGGAGAAGGACATCATGCTCAGAAGGGTAGAGGGACATGCAGGAGAGGAAGACTCCAGATAAGATGGATTGATACAGTTGCTGAGGCAATGGGGTAGGTGTGTCAGAGTCAGGACAGGGCAGGCTGCAGAGCTGTTGTACATAGGATCACTATGGGTCTCAGACGACTCAATGGCACATAGTAACAACAACGACATGGGGTTGAGAGACCGATGCCAGCCATACCTAGAATCTTTAGTGTTGTGAGAAAAATGCTAAATTATTCTGATAAACAAACAAATTCAAATACATGATACTTAACCTTGATTTTGGGAATCCAACAGTGACTAGGACCAGCCACACCCTCTGAGTTCAGATTAACTTCTTTTTAAAAAATTATTTCTTTTCCTTGCAGATGTAACCGGGAAAGTGACAAGCACACAGTTTTTTGATATGTATGAAGGTGGTAAGAAAAGTAACATTCCCATCCAAATATAAATGCCCTTAAAACATAATAGTAAGAATAAAAACAATTGAACAAAAATATAAAACCTTTTAATCTTTTGTATTTTAAGAAAAATGGCTAGTACCATAAGTTTTCTACCATGGTCTTATTGGAGTCTTCCTAAGTTTTCATTGATATTATACAATCAAATGTGAAGGTATCATCTGGAACTTGTCTTCACACTTTCCTGTTAACAATGAAGAGAAAGATCTTTTTGTTAACTAAAGTATACATAAAATAATGTCAGAATGTCATCAGGATCCAGCCTGAGTATCAGAAGCACTGAAAGAGCTGTAGTAATTGCCACTCAGCTACCTGGGCCAGGCTGGGCTGGAGCAGGTATTTCTGCAACCACAAGGGGCCCTCTCTCCATCCGTGGTTTAGAGATTCTGACCATTTAATTATGGGAGTGGTTCTTACAATAGACTGGCCCCATCTTTCTTTACTTAAGACTGGGTGTTATTAGAACAAGTCTTTATAAAGATTGTGAAGAGCACAAATAGAAAACTGACAGTGCTGCCCAGGCTGTGCTGTCCCCATGGTCAGCTGGGGGTTGGGCCATTGTGATCCGTAGGATTTTCTTGGCCTGATTTTCAAAGATGATCTATAGGCCTTTCTTCCCAGGCTAACTTAGTCTGGGAGCTGCACCGATACCTGCCCAGCATCGTAGCAACAACATTCAAGCCTCCACTGTCGGGCAGGTGTTGGCTGCACATGAGGTGGACTGGCCGGGAGTCTAACCCAACTCTCCTGCACAGATGGTGAGAAATTGGCCATTGAACCACCAGTGCCTTATTGAGCTCTTAAAAGTTATTGAAAAGAAGTCTTTTTAAAAATTATAGTGGAGAGTAATGGAAAATACCTCCATCTATTTGATAGGAATGATGGACCTTTCTACTCTGCTACTCATTTACATGTAAGAAGCCAACTGGTAGATAAAGGAGTCTCAGGATGCCTGACCTTTTTTTCTTTTTGAGCTAGGCACCAGTAAGCTGCTTAGCAGACGTGTGTGTGTGACTTTGGTCTGTATCTCTCTTCTGTTGGTTCTCCTTTGGCTTTTTCTGCCAGTGTCACTCATGTGGCTTTTCTGGCCTGAGCTAGGCCCAGCTTTGGGCAGAGTGTTTCTGTCTAACTGAGGAGATGCCTTTGCTGCAGAAGATCCTGCCAGCTAGGCTGAGAGTTTGGTTAATGGGATGTTTATCATCTAATTTCCAAGGAGATCCCTACCCTTTGAAGATCCAGTTGTCTTATTAGCCACAAAAGCTCATGTTGGGACTTTTCCCACTCTAACCATGAGCAGTACATGTAGCAAGTTTTCAACAAAGTTCTTTACCTTCTATGTCCTGCTGTACACTGAGAGATTCCCACAATGGAACCCCAATAATAGCTTACTAGTAAAGACCAGAGCTGCCATTTGTGTGATGGGGTGAGTGCTCTAGAAGTTAGGAGGATTCAGAGTAGACTTGGAGCTCAAGGGCAGAGGGCCGACCAGCACCTCGATCAGGATTCCTATTTAACAGGGCAGATCCTAAGACCGATTTCTATTGACCCAACAGATAACTCTGGACCAATGACAGCTTTTATTAAGAATGCACCTGAGAAATCCCTGCTCTTCATGGTGACCCATGATGATGGAAGCAGCAGGTGAGTACCTCCAGGTGGTCATGGCCAGGGACAAAAGAAACCCACAGGACAGACTCCCTGGACTGTGTTCAGGGACTCTCAGTGACATTCTCTAGGAAGAAAAAAGCTCAAGGAGCTAGATGCTTTTTAAAGGAAAAAGAATGAGAGTATATAACAAAATGGACTTTGTTTCCCAAAAGAGAGAACAGAGAGAGCCAGGTGGGTAACCAGCTAGCCAGTGGATCTTAGAAACAATAGAATCTAGGAAATGTGTCTGGGTAACAGGACATTACCACAGTTGACAAGAACAAGGATTGAAAAACAAGCCTAGACATCAAGCTAAACAGGGCAAGACTTACATAAATAAAAAGGCGGGGGGGGG